CCCCCCCCACACCTCCTCCAGTTAACCTATGCGCCCCTTTCGCCTTGCGCACGCTCGCCTTGGAGCCGCCGGGTTGCTGTTGTTCAGCACTTTTACTGTCGCTGCGGGAGCGCCTGCTGGGTAGGCCACCCCGCTGGTGCGACGCACCCGTGCGAGTGGCTTGCCTACCCCGCAGGCGCTCCGCTCCGAGAGCACCTATTTCCGTCGATTCCCCGCACCGCGTCACGCGGCCGGCCGATTCCCGCTCGCTTGGCCGCTTGGCACTGCGGTGTTCGATATCTGGTGGCTTTCATCAGAGGCGACCAGGACGAGGGCGGCAGCTGTTTGAGAGTGACGCGAAGTGACAGCTCCGCGCGCCCATCTGATCCCGTTCTGCGGCTGGCGTGACGCGTATGACGGCCGCCGCGCTGAAACACGACACGGGCGCCGGCCGAGCGGAGGCCCTCCCCTCGATACCGAGTGGACCTGCTCGCCTGCTCCTGTCGTTGCGACACCGCGCGGCGCCCCGGTCGGCCAAAGAGAGGGAGCGAGACAGATGGTTCTTTTCATCACTACAATGCCGCACTGCCACAGTCGGCGAGTGTACTTTAACTTTGAACTGTGGGACTCCAGTGAGTGCGAGCAGGTCTCTCTCTGTCTCTCGCTCTCTGTCTCTCGCCCTCTGTCTCTCGTTCTCTCTGTCTCTCTCCCTACCCGCGGTTTTCCCCGGCGCGCCGTCGCGTCGCGGCACTGACAGCGTACAGCTGGGTTCTCATCGCATGGCATGGCGTGACACGTCCGCCCGTCACGGTGACGTTTGGTCAAGGTGAGGGCCGGAGTGCGGTGGCCGGGCACAGCGGGCGGTGTAATGGTCATGCAGCGCAAACAACTCCGCGAATAATGGATTCCAAGTGACAATCATCACAAAAGACGGAGAACAAACATGCCGCCAATTTTGTTTTCATTCATTTCTTTTCGGCAAAGAATAGGGAGAATAGCCGGGTCGAACAGATAGATACGAGTTCTAGATTCTAGTAGCATCGCAACAAATACGTTGTGTGCGTGAGACAAGGTCTTAAGAGTAAAGTTAATGAAACCAAGGTTGATACTCACATGGCGAGGATGACGGTTTTCATGGCGTTGGCAGTCGAGGTGCTTGACGGGCGGGGGCGGTCGACCGAGCTCGGGCGCACACACACACAGACACGCACTCACAGAGGCACAGAAACACGATCACAGCACAGAGAAGAGTAGCGTAAATCGAAACGATAGATCCAAAGAGGGCGAAGAAGAGTGGCGAAGAGTAGGGAAGAGTAGAAGTAGTAGAAGGGGTTGGCGGTGAAGAGCGATGATGTCCGGAATGAGAAGAGAAGAAGTAAATAAAAAGAGGGAAGGGCTGCTGGGCAGCGGAGCAGAGCGGGGCAGAGCGGAGCGCAGACAGGTGTGCCGTGTGCGCGCGCCGGGCCGGTACTGGGCAGGCTGCCGCGGGCCGGCGCGGACGGGACGCTGGTGTCGGAGGCCTCCGCGGCCTGGACCCGCCCCTGGCCTGCCCGCCCGGCCCGGCCCGGCC